GTGAATTTTTTTATTATTCATTATTTTTTTTTATATAACATATTGAAGATGACCAGATATTAGCCGAAACGTATATGTCTTTATAGTTATAAATATTTGTGAATTTTAATATATGACATATCGCTAATAACAACCTGTGTGTGTTTTTTCATATTGTTTTATTATAATCTTTTAATATTTTTATTAATAACAATTTCACGTAATTACATAAAATTATTTTAAACACTATTAATTACCGTATCCTATAAGAGGAAAAGAATGGACTTATCATATATGTCAATAACATCCAGCACAAAAAATTGCTTTACTGCTAAGTTACAAACATTCCACTTTAATACTGGTTTTGTAATGGAATCATTTGGAACAAGTCGCGATAAAAATAGACACGGTTGGCTGAATAAAGTTAATTTATTACATCTGGCAGTTGGTTTATCATGCACGTTGGACATTTTTTTTAGTGATGGGTAAATATTTTTGAAATACTTTTAAAAACTATTCCAGTGACTGCTTAATTATGCTTGATGAAATAAGATATACTAGAAAAAAAAATTTATAATATTACAAAATTTTACTTTTGAAAGAAGTTTTAGAAATAAATTTATAAAATCTCTTTAGCGTTTCTAAACATTGTAGCTTTTTTGGACGCTACAAATTACTTTTAAAATCCCAAAGCTAGTATATATATCGCTGCATGAATACATTTATTATAGAATTGTAAGCTCTGCAGTTGCTCATATTTACATTTGCAAGAGCTAATTAAATATCCAGTTGGGATACACACGTTTAATTAATTAAAACATATGAATTTATTTCAGTTTGAAATCGTTCGCTTGGACAGCTTTCGTCTGCATAAACATTTATGTTAATTAATTAATAACTTAAAATAACTAAATAAATGTAAACAGACAATTTCACATAAAAGTATTTTTTTCAAGGATGCGTTAATTATTTTATATAGAATATGTTGCTATGTGATATTCTTTTTATGAGTTGGAATTTAGAAATCGTAACAAATTTGAAAGATGTATTGTATTACGTTAAAATAACATTTCCCCATCATTAATAACAAAAATCAATAAAAAATTTGTATTTGTATTTTATCTTTATTATAATCACTCCCAACAATATCATACCTAATTTTGGATTCTGATTCGATCTGGAACAGTTAAATGTCATCTGACAGAAAAGATCAAGGATATTTGCCAATCTGTGAATCTTATTCCAAAAAGAAAAAATAATTCTCGAAAATATAATTCTCGAGATTTTTTATGATGGCGCCATTATAAATGCGTTTCTAAATTAAAGTGATCAGTATCATGACCCAAATATTCCAACTAAAACAAATAATTTTGGCATCGACTGCACTGCATTTTATAATATTAAAATTTCGGTTTATATATTGAGTTTAGAATTAGTAAAAAATGACATACTGCATAAAATAACGATTAATATTAGGTTCCTCGCCTCCGCCGCTACGTTTTATGGCCTATAAACATGAAAGCAACCGAGTCATTAACAATTCAAGCCGCTCTACTTCGTATTTCTGTTGGACTTTTTACCTATATTTGTCGTCCTCGCATAGTTAAATTCGCGCCAATATTATCGCGCCTCGTAAAACAAAATATTTACATAAAACGAAAGAATGTCACTAAAATATACCATCATATATACGATTTTATATCATTATTATGTGATACCGGATATTACACATAATTTCTCCCTCTGATATTTCTTTAATTGATTCATATTTTTCACAAGATATAACTGTAGATATAATTGTATTAAGAATAATCAAGAAAGAACTACGATTTTTCGATCGACTCAGAACCGGTTGCTTCATCTTCTTTTGCTATATCTCATAAACTATATGATAATTTACTAATTAGATAAACAAAAGAGTAAAAGAGTAAGAGCATAAGAGAGATGTGATGAAAAGAGTAAGAGAATAAGACAGTGAGTTAAAGTTTATCGAAAAGTCGAACAACCCAGCCTAAATCCTTTGCTAATTAATTTCTCATCGTTAAATATAAAGTATATTTAATGTAATAAATTACACTATGTTCGCAAATTACTTGTATAATAAGGAAGAATTATGGAAATAACAGATTGGGTTTCGAAATCTATCGCTACTGCTATAAATTTATAGTTTACGTTACATGCACTATAAATTTTCAGTACTGGTAGTGAATTTTGAAACACTGTTACAATAGAATGATTAGCCCTGGCATAGACAGTTCATCAAAGAGAAATTAATTGAAACATGACTTCAATTCATTTAATTAATAAGCGCAAAGCATGAAATATATAATTGGTTTAGAAATATACTTACAAATTCACTTTCGAGTATGTACACGTGACATTTTATTGTACTACCTGAGCGATCAACTACTTTAATTTTAACCATTCGCAATCGTAAGATATTAAACTGTAAATCACTATAAATGATAATATGATAAAATAAGCTTATATCTTACCATAATTAATTAGCAAAGGATTTAGGCTGAGTTGTTCGACTTTTCGATAAACTTCAACTCACTGTCTTATTCTCTTAGTCTTTTCATCATATCTCTCTTATGCTCTTACTCTTTTGTTTATCTAATTAGCATTCACAGCATGTGCCATTATTAATAATTTCGTAAAGAATTTTAATAATTTATTCTTCACAATTGTTTTTTAAGATAAATTTTATATATATTACTATCTTCAAAAAAAGAGAAGAAAATTGTAGCGTGTTCGTTTAGAGCGTGTATTAATATATGTTAAAAATTAACATTTAATTTATATTTGTTTGCTATAATAACATTATAAATTACGTAAGTTTATAATGTGATCATCTTTTAAATGATATTAAAAGGAAATAGCATATTATTAAAATCTTTTAAATGTCAAAAAATTTCAAAAATGAAATCAGGACGAGAAATCTCTTTCTCTCTCTCTCTCTCTTTCTCTTTATCATAGAAAACTAATTGTAAAAAATAGAATTTTATTAATACGCGTATTACAAACTTATTATATCTAAAAGTTTATTATATATACAAAATAAAGATACATGCAATATCTATCAAGTAATATATAATTCAACAAAAAATTTTTAATGATCCTCTTAATAATTTAAATGTATTTTAATAATTATTGTTTAAATATATTAAAACTTACTTATAAATTACAAAAAATTTAGCACATGCATATCACGTTCTATTAGTGAAAAAGATAATGTAATTTATGTGTAAATGGTATTTGATTATTGTTATAATTACAAATTGGGTTAGTAATGTTATATTAAAATAACTGGATTTCCTATATATAGTCTAATGTATCCAATGTGTGAAACTTACGAACAAGTGGTACAACTACATTGCAATAATAATTAATTTATGTCAGATACAATTAACTGCATTTAACAAATTATGCATATTGCCAATAGAAAGCCAATTAAATTACTAATAATAAATGTTAAAAATGTATTAATTCACTATATTATTAAACATTAAATCCGTATTCACATCTCACTTTTATTGATGTGAACATTTATATGTGCTATAGAATCTCATAAATAAATACGCGCATCTACCGATAAAAATGAAGTGTGAATATGGATCTTAAGTTGTAGACATAATTCACTAATAATTGAGCAATCAGTGTGATTATTCCTACCACATTCAGTGCAGATATCTTTTAATTTTACTCATGAAATTTTAATAAACAAAATTTCATTAAATTACTCATCATCAAACCTTTTTAACTTGATTTTTATTAATTTTAGGATAATTTACATATAATATCACGAAAACTAATCCATCTTGATTAATATAAATGGAAAAAATCATATCTCGATTATACCATACCAATATACTCCAAGTTATATATATAAATACGTATTTTATTTTATTAAGACTTTTAATATTAATTGTCCCCCAAAAATTCATAATGCGTAATCTTTTACTAGGCTACTTTTCGATATCATTTCCAATATTAAACGCATAAAAACAAATTTAAAAACCTATGAAACATTCTTCGGATTAATCTTTTACCATTTTAATTTCTGTCCTAGTAATAAATTAAAAATAATAAAAGTTAAAGTATATCAAGTTAAAATTTTATAAACAATATTGTATATAGATTGATTATATATTTTTGTTTGAATAATAGACATAAATAGAAAGAAGCTGTGCTAACAATATGGGAGATAAATGTAGGGATTAGATAAATATACTATGTAACAATAAAATTTTATTTATAAAATTAAAATAAAAACACTTCAATATTTTAATAAAAATTATTTGATGTTTCCACAGTATCCATGCCATATCGCACATCAATAGACCTGCCAAAAATAAAACAATTTATTATTCATAAAGCTATATATTTTTTAATACGATATTTGATACTGGAAGTTGTATATCAGATAGAGCTAATAACAAATCACAACGATTCATGCGAAAGATGGTAATAATTAAATCATCATTACAAGTACATTTAAATAAAAAAATACATGGAATACAAATGATACCTACCACATACATTATTTTGTACTTGTTAATCTTATCTATTTTTAGAATTGTGTAATTTCTTCTATATTCATTTATTATTCCCAAAAAGAATTGTCTCAAACTTTTGCACAATGTTTTAACTTTTTAATCAGTCTTTTGTAAATCAAAGCATATAGGATAAAAATAGACTGGCACCAAGATTTATAACAGCGAGCCGCTCTTGGAATCATAAATCATTCTTATTTTTTCTGTAATATATAAACAATACAATTATTTACTATAACTTATTTTATATTTATTCATATTTGCATTAATTTTTAATCTTCGCTCAGTGGTAGTGACGAATTATAAACATATCACAATTAATTTTCAAAATTATAGAGATATACATCATTGATATACATTAAAAATATTTAATAAATTTAAAATTGCATTATAAAAAATTAATATACAAAAATACAATTATATAAAAAAAAATTTTTAATAAATCTAAAAATTATACGAATTTACCACGTATTTAAAAACCCATATAGCACAAATGTCCAACGGATATTCTGAACATCCTGAGAACATTCACAGGAATATCTTTGGGATAAAGTATGTTGAATGAGAAAGCATTCCTTTTTTTCAACTTGTCGTATGAGACATCTGAAATATAAAAAATAGTACCGCATTTAAAGATCTATTTAGATCTTAATATATTTAATATGAATACATAAACAATATCAGATAGGAGCGAAAGACAATAATATTAAGGAATCGTCAAGATAATTTCAGTTGAACTATGCAGTCATCATGTAATTGTATGTGCATAAATTATATAAGATTTATATATAAAAATAGAAATCTAGGTATATACCTTGGATATGGACTGCGTCACTTCCATGTTTCTACCAAAGAATTAAACTTTTCTCTGCAGTTTATCGTAAGTGCTGCTGAACTGCAGTACCTGTAATAAAGCATAAAAGTTTATTACAATTAATTAAATAAATACAATTAATACAACTTTATTAAGGAGATAGTCAGTACTGCAGGACATTTTCGTCATTAAATCTGATAAACAAATCATCATTAAAATATCAATAAACAAATAAAAATCATAAATTACTATACAATGTTCTTAAAAAAATAGTAATCATACATACATTTTAGAATAAAAAATTAAAATATTTTTTCTGTGGAAATTTAAATTTCAAATAGAATAATTTTTTTTTCATCGTAGCCAGATCTAAATAAACTTACCATTTCATTATTACATATTCACGGTTTCTTAAATTTTGCCTGAACAAAGATTCTCGGAACATCAATGTTCTCCTTTAAATTTACTGTACGTCTCTGTATGTAGTCACAATCCAATGTTTGAAAACCGACAGATTCAAATAGACATGCTATTTGTTCTATAGAGAAATAATAACTCCTGAAAAATGTGAAGAATATATTATTGTTACTGTTCCATGTAAACAGGATAGAAATACACAGGGTTGTGTTATCTAGTAGAATCAGATTTCAAAAAATTTATTTCATTGTAAATCAATTGAACTATGAAGACATCATATCTTTTTATTTATGTGAGCAGTTGTAACAAAAAAAAGTATAGAATCACCTGGTTCCATCTTGCCGCATATAGAGATTCTCACTGATCTTGTTTCCAGGTTTAAAACGTAATTGTGCCATATCGTACAATCCATAATCTCTAAAGAGCAAGATTCCTCCACTACCAAGAACATTGTATATATTTTGGACAACTCTATTATAAATATATGAGTTAATTAGTAATCGCAAAATTTAATAAATTGGAATCTTACAATAATATTAGAGCCGCATTTTTGATAGTATTATTTTATTAGTAATTTTTTTTATTAAACGTACTTGTGAAATTTATTAGGATGAATGGCTGATAATACAAAGATCAGAGTTGCAACATCAACTGGACAATCAATTTCAGCAAAACAATTTTCTAATGTAACATCCGCTTGAAAAGCTTTCATTGTTCCCAGATCAAATAACGTATGACTCTACAAGGAAACGACTATTAACGCACCGGTTCGCAACTTAAACCAATTTACAATTAAACTCCAAAACATACACATAACATTAATAATTCCTAACGAAACACATTTCAATTTTCTTAACTCTAATAGCATTTGCCTCCGTTAAATTAATTTGACGTATTGTTTCAATCACTGGATTATTCTAGCTAAATTTTCACATTGAGAATGTGTGCTTGTACAATTTTACGGAACTCTACATGTTCAACTAATTTTATTATCATTATGGACAAATTGCGACCGATGTAATAGAAAAATGTAACTACAAAGATAACAAGACTGAGCATTGCATTGTTACGACTAAAAATAGATATGAAGAAATAGGTAAACTTGCACCACTTTGCGTAACTATAATTTGCAGAAATTGTATTTAACCGTTTTATGATTTTTACTAAATTTGCATTAATTTATCGACATGTATACACTGAGGATGACCAACAAATCGGTCGAAACGTGTTTTTTTTAATTTAAATATACAAAAAATTTGGCTCTTAACTCTGTTATTCATTTTTATTTAAAATCCGAAAAGCGAATGTACCTTCAACAACTCGATTGCCCTCGTGGATAAATCGCATGCAAATATTCTCCGAAAGTTCAATCCGTCCTCTATCAACGGATAAACGAAATTGCCGACCCCGCAGCCCACCTCAAGGAGGACATTTTGATTTCCGTTGCCGCCCAAACCCAGCAACTCATCAAATTCCCGCGTGGTCCAGTGTCTATCTTTGAAGAATCTGGTATCGTTCCGCTTGTAAAACAAATCCCAGTGCTTTTTCGCGTCTCTCTCAAGCTGATTCGCGCGAAATTCGGTCACCAAGCGAGAATCCTGCGCCCGCATTCTATCGATTTCCTCCGGCGTGAGACGCTTTGCCACGTGGCCCACATTCGATTCAGCATTTTCGACATATTCGCTCATTCTTTTCTATCAATTATATTATCGAACCGATTAATTAAATTTACATCGCAAAACTTATTGAATCAGAAGAAGTTCATGTGATATTTCGATAAAAAAAGAAAAGAAATGCTTACCAAGATTGAGGACACGTTGAACCTTTCTCGTTGAAACGCCGGAAAGAAATGGACGATGAAACGTTCGACGTGGAGGGTGGAGTCAAGAAGAGCGGCATAATCTTTAGATGAAAAGGCAACGTTGCATGCGCTGTTGCCATGATAGAAATAGCCACGTAATATCACGTGATATTTAGCGGTAAATTCGAAGGCGTAATATACACAATCCGAAGAAAATAGCTCTTTACAATATTATATATAAGGCAATTATATTTAATATTTTATTTAAAATTAAAAAATAAATGTATGTATAATATTTGTAAAATTAAAAAAAGTAATTAATGAATTTATATCTAAAAACTAAAATAAAAGCAATTTTCTGTTTTTGTTAAATAAATTATCAACCCACGCTTTTGTTGATCAAATGTAATATTAGAATAAAAGATAATCAAAAATTGCTATAATAATCGATAAAATAAAATATTATAATAAATTAATACTAATGTTTTAAACATTTTCTTATATCATTGATATAAATATTTAAATATTTATCTTTTCTCAGTCTTTTTAGAGAATGAATGTCTTTTTTTATAACATAACGTAAATTACAATAATTATACAAAAAAATAATATAAATAATAAAAAATTTAATTTTAATGATTTTTACTAATAAAATATATTTATTAATTGTTAATGATAGAACTTTAATATCATTATTTATTTAATTTAATTGAAAGTAGAGATGTACAATATGAGAACTTATAATCACATAAATCTAAATAAATTTAACAAAAACTTTACCTATGTACGATTTTTATATTTTGATTAATACGTTATTAATATAAATTTTATAATAAAATTTGAACAATTTAATAAATTTATTTAATGCATTGATGTGTTACTTGACAAAATATTAAATAAGCTTCTCTTTGAGCGTGGTGTCGGTATGAATTCCACGCAAACATTTTTGTTTCATTAACATGCAGAACCCATAGGGGACAAATATTTTATGCCACCGTATAGCATTGGCACACAATGACACACTATTAAAGGGGGCTAGACGTGACTGAAATTCAGTCAAGTAATTGCGTATCACTCATGGACGATGAAAACAAAGAACGTATATGATAACGCAAGTATCAAGACATATCGTTATAAATATTAATGAAATATCTGAAATCGCCATACGAGCGCGCATAACGTTTCAATTGATCGCTTTCATTTTACGTAGCACGTGTGGGCATTTTCCACATTATTTAACGCATTTTACGTTTCACGAGGAGCTCATAATGTGCAAACCGAGCGCGGTCGAAAGAAAATGAATCGATTGAGTAGTATGTAGGTCATTGCAGACCACAATTTTGTAGAGAGCTTCGCGAGAGATGTAACAACCATAGATTACCTGAATGGAATGAGAAACACGTTTCACAATTCGCAGTCATTAATGCCCTGCGTTACTACGTCATTCCATAGTTTTCAGCGGGGTCATCCTTTGCAGCCGCTTTATAATCGTATATTTTGCCCTGATCGTTAAAAAAAATGTCCCAATTAAAATTGCACTTTTATCGAATGATATATGGCATACTGCAACCAGATCGAATTCATCATATGATTAATCTTGATTATCATCAGTTTTATTGATTTCTTCATTTTTAATCTTGTTATTTTATATATCTATTAAATGCACGCATCGATTTAAATTATTATATTAAAACTTTAAATCGGTCAACAACAAATGCTGTTCAGATTTGTAAAATGTAAATTAACAACTCTGTTTTAAACAGAGATACAATAACATGAAGCAATTAAAAAGTAGAACCTCTGTATAAACGAATTTATTAATCAAGACAATATATAATAGAACCTTTTTTGGAAATTAAAAATAAATATTTTTGAATTTGTGACATTAAAAATTTTCAGTCATTTTTATTGTATTTTATACAATAATTTTAAAAATGTTCAAATTATTAGCTTTTAAAAATAATGTTTGCAAGAGTAAACCTGAAATAAAAACTTTTTTATTTTTTTTTACAATAAATTACTATTATTTATTTGTATAAGAAAATTTCGAAATTTGGTGAAATAACAAAATCGCATGTATTCAAATCTATGAAAATAAAATTTTACAAAAAAGTTATCACCGTATCGATAAGTGAAAAGTAAATATATCGAAAGATCGGTACGTGACTAGATAGAGGACTAGATAGAGGACATATCTATCATAAATATATATCATAGTTAAAATAATTTGGCTGAAATACTTCTTGCTACACTGTTTTGAAAATACAGTTTTGAGAAAAATTTTATGTGTTAATTGATTTTATAATTGCAATTATTGAAATAATAATATAAAAAATAATATTTATACATTAAGTACATGTGTACACATTTTGGAAAAATTAACAATTTTTTTTAGATTTACAGCATTTTAGGCAGAAGATAATTAGAAGTTGTTTAAATGATTAAATTATATAAATAAAAATACTGTAAGAATTGTTATTTTAATTTTTAATTACTTTTTATTTTTCTTATCTCAATTTTAATAACGTTATAAAGAAGAATATTAAAAAGAGGCTAATTGACCGAAAAAATAATTAAAAGGAATAATGTTTTTGTAGATTTTAATCTTCTAGATACACAAAATTATTAAAAAGTTCGTTTGAAGAATCGAAAATTTAGCAAAAAATTTAAATAAAATACACCATGTTTGGGTTTAATTTTCGAAGTGTTTCCCAAATGCTTCAAATTTTTTAATAATTTTGTTGTATCCAGGAGGTAAAAATCTACAAAAAACATTATTCCTTTTATTTACACTTTTAAGTCGATCTTTTTTTAACATCCTCCTTTAAATGATCAATTTCACATATGTGTATGCGATTGTGTAACTATTGAAATTTTATATGACGTTATTAAACTTGAAATAAAAAAATTAAAAAATAATTAAAAGTTAAAATAAAAATTCTTATAATATTTTTAGAAATTGACATCCTATCGGTTATAAATTAATATCAGTATTTTTATTTGTATTGAACGCGGATATGCAGAAGATCAAATTACATGAATAATTCGTGTTGGAGAGCTACCGACCTCTATCGAATACATACCTACATATATAATCGGCAGTATGGTAAATATCGGATTTGCATTACATTTGCTAGCATACGCTACGTGATTTTATTTCGATATCATTACTCGAAAATTTATTTCGCTAATTAGCTGACCGTCATAACCCACTAAAGCACGCTTTCGCATCAGCCTCCATCCGGGATATCTTGCGTGGTTAACGAGCAACAGCACGGGATGCATAATCATAAAAATAATCCTCATTCTGTGGACATGGAGAAAGAGAGAATGAGGGGGAAGGAAAGAGAGAAAACTCTCGCGAAATTGAACGCACTCTGGCTCTCACGAGAGCGATCAAGAGATTATCCGAACTTCTCCCGTTACCAATGCGCGTTATTACGCTTCAACGGGCTCAGTGCGATTTACGCAGTTTCAAATAATCCTACTAACGTTTCCATTAATGCTGTGATGGATCCTTTTTGGAATTTTTCCGCGGGATAAATTGCAAAGATTAGCTGTGGTCATTGTTATCTGTAAATCCCTGTCAGCTTTGGAGAGACGGAAGTGGACAGTTACTTTTATGCCTACAACAGAAAGAATAAAAAATTTTCCCAAAAGTAATAAAAATATATATATACCTTTTATTATTCTTAGGCTTCATTTTTAACGGTGAAAGTTTGAATCAATTAAAAATCGATTTTTCTTTAGCAAAAATAACGAGAGGTCATTATATACTCATTTTACTTTTAAATCTGTAACATATCATCTTCGCAATTAAGATAAGATCTAAATTAGAATTTTATTATAATAAACTATATTTAAAATTTACCAGTAACATAATTTTGTAAATTATTTAATTCCTTGTTTAATTTGCGAGAAAATCATCTATTTCAGTTGCTTAATAATTACAAAGTTATCGATACCTCGATATTATGACTAGAGAAATATCATATCTAAACTGATCAAGAATCTAGGTATCACATTAATGATACATAATAAGTGGAACACTCTCTCTATATCATAACATTTTAAAATATTTATAGCAGAGATAATATGTACATATATATGTATTTATATCGCGTATTATGTCATGCATTGCATGTCAATAAACCTAATAATTACTTATTAGGTTTATGTTTCATGAGAAAAAACTGTACAATTGTTTACATTTGTGCAATCCCGTGGGCGTTTCCCACAATTTATGTAATTGTGTTACACGCATGGTCTACGAAATGATAATTACTTCTCACAATCAAGTGAAGCACGTTATGAATAGATTAGATTGTATTACGTTTCTATTGACAAAGACCGCATCTCTGATGTAATAAGTTTTGTTGATTCGTCGATTTATTACCAAAAATTTGACAACTTTATGATATTTAAGAATACGACACATATTATATATTTTAATTGTGTACCATATTTGTAAATATCGTTCACAAATATCCAGCACGCGTTAATATTTTAAACTATTTTAAAATAACTAGCTTTCTTACTAGCTTTGAATTAAAATACAGCATTAACATGTAATTAATCATCAATAATACAAAATCATACAGATATTTTTCCTTTCTTTAAATCGCTCAACGTTGCTCGTGAAATCTATTTAATCAACAACAAAAATAATTAATAACAGTTATTATAATTATTAATACATTTATATTTATCTATATATATATATATATAATAAAATATAAGAATGTCAGCTGCTGAATGTACTTGATATAACAAATATTAATTCTTTCACAGTCATTCAAAATGTGTAGACAATAACTTGTATTTAATGATTCATGATCGAAGAATTTGTCTAAAAACGCGCCATATGGAAGAACATATTCACATTCCACACCTAAAACTTCAACTCTTCGTAGTTTAGTCTCTTACTTTACATAACTGCGAAGTTACAAAATTACGAATGCCAGAGGCGATACTGAAATCGGACGGTTTCGTTATTTTGTGCTGCAAGTTTTTAATTCGTGCGTCTGTATAAAATACATTACGTTAATATATTCAGCAAATACATTTTAAAATATAAATTGACATTAAAAAATTTAAGCTGTGTGCTAAATAAATAATTCTAAGCACTTTTTACTTTCTTTCTTCATAAAAAAAACAATGCTTTCAAATATTTTTTTTCTTCACTTGAAGTGTCAAACTTGTAAATTATTCATTACAACAAAAATTTT